ATCGGTCAGTATGAAACATGGACTGCGGACTTCGGACTGCTGACTGGGAATGAAATACTGACTAGGTATAAAACGCGGACTGGAAAATATGGACTGGGTATATAACAGGAACTAGGTATAAAACACGGACTGCGGACTGGGTATAAATATGGACTACGGACTACTTGGGTAAAAACGGTGCTAAAGTTGTAAATACTCCTATAAATTCTTGGTGGAGGTGTGCCACCCGGTTTTCTGAATCATCAGCGTAACCTAAATGCTATTTTCTTCACCCATTTTTAGACCTGTAGTCTCGGTCTCTAACAATCATGAAAGGGGTCAGGACGAGGGGGGTACTCCCTGAAATAAGCCATATAGGTATGTATTGCCCAAAGGGTAGGGTCTTTGGGCCTTTTTGGTCTGAAAACACTTTACCCACTTTGGTCTGGAATCGGGTATGGTTTTTGAGGAACTACGGGAGTGTACATGAGTGGACGTATATATCATTTCAATTCCAAATGAATAAGAACGAAATAGAAATATGCCAATTCAAAATGCATTTGGAGAATTTTTTTTGTTTACTCTCTAACTTGGTAATAATGACATAATTTCTGCCTTATTAGACCTAACCTGTTCCAGGCACCGAGATAGTTGGGTCTGCTGAATTGAGAAGGGGCGAACACAAAAATAAAGTGGGAGAAAACTGGGGAGTCTCCTCAACTATCTGAGAACCTGGAACAGGCTAAATTAGGCCAGGTCTGAAAATGGGTATAGATTTTAGAGATCTGGTCTGAAAACGGGTGTGGAAAATGACATTTTTTGGTCTGAAATAAGCTCAGGATTCGGAGAACTGGGCGGCACACCACCACCAAGAATTTCCAGTAGTACCCGCCTCCGGGGTTCAGGAACATTGTGTAAATCATGTCATCATAATCATCGCTTAGAAAACGTTGGATGATTCATTTTGGTTATTATTCACATATGTGAGTAATCCCACCCCCCTTAATACTGCTTTTTTGCATCGCGGAATGCCCCCTACATTGACCTTCTCGTCTGAGTTCTTCATTCAGTCCTCATATTCTAAGGGCTTTATTTGAAACAGAATCCTGGCATCTATAAGAATTTTACTGATCTGAATAACACCAATACTACGATTTTTTTTATTCGATGCTTCTTATTGTTTTAAAACTGGAAATTGAAATCTCTTCTCACTCCTTCTTTTTATAAAATTCAGAGTTTAATTTCAATAAATTGCCTTGAGTACCGGCATAACCTTCCTTGTCTGTGGGGATAGACTACATGAACAGCTAAAGAAATGTTAAAGCTGGGACTACTGTTTTTGCTAGTCTGCTTTCCATTTCTTTCAGTTTTACCTTTCTAAAGCTGTTTTTATATACATAGTCTGTAGTCCGCATTTTATACCTAGTCTGTGTTTTATACTCAGTCCGGAGTCCACATTTTATACCTAGTCGGAGTCCGTGTTTTATACCCAGTCCGCAGTCCATGATCCGCAGTCCGCAGTGCGTGGTCCACAGTCTGCTGTCTATGTTTTACACTGACTGGTCTAAATATCAGGCCATGAGGTGACGGTCAAGTCTCTAATTTCACTATGCTAATTAGCTCTGACCTCATTTGCACAATCTGACAGCGTCACAAAATTTATTTGTAGAAAATTGCTAGTCGCTCTATAGTTTCCACCGATATTCGGCCTCTTTGGTTTGATACTGAAGTAAAAATTTTTTTCTACTGTATTACACATAATCATAACTATAACAAAATTCTCAAATNGGAGTCCGTGTTTTATACCCAGTCCGCAGTCCATGATCCGCAGTCCGCAGTGCGTGGTCCACAGTCTGCTGTCTATGTTTTACACTGACTGGTCTAAATATCAGGCCATGAGGTGACGGTCAAGTCTCTAATTTCACTATGCTAATTAGCTCTGACCTCATTTGCACAATCTGACAGCGTCACAAAATTTATTTGTAGAAAATTGCTAGTCGCTCTATAGTTTCCACCGATATTCGGCCTCTTTGGTTTGATACTGAAGTAAAAATTTTTTTCTACTGTATTACACATAATCATAACTATAACAAAATTCTCAAATCTGATTGGTTATCAACTGCCCTGATTTCAGCCTTTATAGGACCATTTAATAGGACAATATGAGCCATCACGTGCATGCTTAAATGGCATTTTTTTCATTGCTTGCAAGAAAATCTTGGAATTTCTTGTGTTTTGATTTTAAAAAGGGACATATCATTCACAAATTTTGTTATGATTAATTAGTAACAGAACCTTATGTCACCCAATTCAGTGTGTAATCACACTCGTGATTAAACAAATCGGACTCCGCCAGGTGGTCGTCTGATTTTGTCAACCACTCGTATGATTACAGACTGGATTGGACTCCACTCAGTCCTGTTACCATTACAAATAGACAACATTCCTGGCAAAATTGCTCTCTTAAAAAGATTTTAAATTAATAATGCAGAAATATGCCTTGTTTATTTTTTGTGGAATATTATGGGTTTCCTGAGACCAAAATACATTTTTTTCTGAAAGATGAATTTTTGCCCTTTCCAATGAGGTATAGCTTTATATGAAACTGTAAATAACAGCAGAGATATAATTTTTAAAAGTTGCATGGTCAAAAATACTTGAAATAATTAGTGAAGACAATGTAATCTTGCAGAGTCACCTTTTTTAACTATCAAAAAATTAGAGGGAAAATGTAGGGAATTCTCAGTTCCCACTCAATATTGATTTAATTACTTTGCAAAAAGTTGCTGTTAAGTTCAATGTGTCCCTACAGTTGTATATCAACTAATCCTGAATGAAGGAAGGGTACTTTGAGAGCTTGACAGTAGTTTTAATTGGTTGTCAATAGGATTGCCGTGTAGTTATCTGGACAAAGAATGAGGTTGCAGGTGGTGGTTGATCTTTAAAGGTAAATAAATGAAAATTCTACTGGTACAGCAGTTATATGGAAAGTTGGTAACCATTACACGTTATTGTGTAGTGTATTTACTACCAATTAAAGGAAAACAAGTTTCATGGAGACCCAGTGGCCCCTCCTAAGCATCATGGTTCGCACGGGCCTGGAATGCTCCTTAACAAACTGCTAGGTCTTTTAAAATTCCTTGAATTTGTGGAAGCGCTGCTTGAATTTTTGTTAAAAACTCCTTGAATATTTGAGACTACAACAAAATAAGTTCATTTTGTCTCAAACAACAATTAGCTTTCTCTATCAGGACAATTCAGTGTTTCTTATCCAAAATATTTATAAGTAACCGCAATTTTAATAGGTTTTCCCAAGTGTACCTTTTCAGTCACCTTCTAGGCAAACAAAACCACTAAGGAAAATATAGCTTGTTGGTGAGCTCAGCGATGATTGGGGAAGCTGCCTAGTTTAGTGTTATTCGTTACCTTTTTTGTGTGTTTAAATAATTTAGTTTTTTCTGTAAGTCAGAGTTCCTGTTGGTGTCTTTTTTTGGGACATGAGATAATATAAACTTCATTATTAACAAAAGGCGCCCTTCTTCTCTTATTGTGTTTTAATGAATAACAAAAGCTATAAAAGTCAGTCTTGTTAAAGGGTCATAATTAGTTATACTATAATGTGCCCTTCTCCATTCTAAATTTTCTTGCTATGTTACCTTGTGTACACATAGTTTAAACAGCCTTCTACTAATATTAATATTGTGCAACTGATGTATTATCTATAGAATAGAGTAAATAAAATACAAAATACAAAAACTTGAAGCATGAGATTTACCACTCTGGAATAGCTGTTATCTTTTGTTCTTAGGGTTTATAGGGAGTTGTTTTTTGGCATGACTGTGCAAATATGTAACATTTGTGACATAATGCAAGTGCCTGAGAAAATAAACTCCTTGAAGTTTCTTACAGAGTTCTAGAAAAGTCCTCGAATAAAAGTTAATGAAACTTGTATAGACGATGAGCATTTAATTTGCTTTTCTTGCGAACTGACTGAGCTTTATGACCAAATGTTGTTTATGGTTTTCAGGTGTTGGTCTGTAACAGGGAATATTTTAGTTGTATCAAGTGGAGACAACAAGGTAAGGTATGTATATTTTTAAATGATGTCTTGTTGATTGAGGCAACATTTTGAGTTGACTTCCTTTAATATTATGCATGCTCTCTTGTTACTCTACTGTCATACTACACAATTTTGCCCCAACGTGAAACAGTCAAACTCTAGATGCTGGTGGGGAAGAATAAATGTATTTTTTTACATTAAAGTTTTCTCCCATGTTCTCAGCGCCTTTGTTTCTTAATGTAACTGTTCCAAGTTTATTGGTCACTGTGGTTTTGTGTGAAAAGGTTGATATCTTCACCGTCAGACCTTCAGGGCCCCAGTTGTCAATAGTCTGTGGACATAATTGTTTTCTGGCTGTTGATTATCTCTGCCAGACAATAAGTGCTAAGAGCACCACAGTGTTTGCAGGCCAATCACTTAAACTGAGGCTAATAATGCACAGCATTAACCTACATGTAGGATCAAATCTTAACCTACAGTAAATATATAATCTGCTTATATTATCTTATAGGCTGTTTTCTCTGTTTGGGCTAATAGCATTACTGGATCTCTGAGAAGGTTCAACAACTTTTAATGAGATTCAGTTAATTTTATTTGAAAGAGAAAAAATTGGGTTTTTAAATTTGACTTTACCTTAAATTACAGTGCGGACACTCGAACCATGAACACCAGACGTTTTTTTTCTGCACTTTTGAACGAATATCCAATCAGCGTACGTCGTCGAAACAAAGGCACTGACATTTTTTAGGCGCCAGCCAATCAGCGACTTGACGGTTGGCGGGAATTGTGATGTTTTTTCATCGCCTGTAGCGGGCGATCTTCGGTGATCTTTGATGCGGTTTTCGTTATAATTGTAAAGTGAGAAATATTGCTAGGTGGCCGCTTGGTAAAAACATTTCTATTTTTGAGAATTATTTTCCGAAAAACAACCAAAACCGCCGGCGAAGTCCTGACTTTGAAAATGGCTTTCGCGCCTTTGTATTATACTGGTGAGCTCGCGACTTCTATCAAAAAAATTTTAAGTGTTTTATTGACGTATAGTTTTGTATTATTCCTTATCCAAGGTAAATGCAAACTTAGTCTTAACCAACAACATGGGATTTACGACAATGGAAAAGCTCTCCCACAAGTGTATCGGGAAAGAGTGCTTGATCTGTATCATCAAGGGTCGACGCAAAGACAAATTTCGCAGGATATGCGAGTTAGCATCGGCTATGTAAATAAAGTTGTTCAATTTTACGAACAGAGTAACTCCCCTCTACCTGCGCCACGTAAAACACCGGTTCGTAATATATTTACAGCAGATGTTGTTGAGTACGTGGAGTCCGAAAAATTATGTAAACCAAGTGTATACACAACTGAAATTCAACAGCGTTTGTTATTTGATGGGATTTTTCCCCCTGGTCAATTACCATCACAGTCTGGAATTTAAAAGTGCATTCGCGAAGACTGTAAAATGACAAAGAAAAAAATTTCTACAGTACCCACAGAATCTTTGTCACAAGCAAATTCTGAATACACAGATTATTTTCTTGATCAAGTTGCACAGCGTGACCATTGGAAAGTTCATTTTTTTGACGAGAGCAGTGTTATCGTGACCGCAGGAAACCGCGTTTATGGCAATTCCTATCTTGGTGAACCTGCTATCGAATTACAACGCTACGCCTCCAACGCGAATTACACGCTCAACTTACTTAATTCAATACATGGAGTTGATTACTTTGATGTTTTGAGAGGTCCCTCTAATAGCATGGAGCTTTTAAATTTTTTCAATGACGCCCTTTCGGTGAATAGAGCAGATGGAACAACAATGCTTGAGAACGGTGATATGGTTATCATGGACAATTGTGGATTTCATCACGGACATTTTGCAGAGCCCTTATTGTCCTTATTACGAGACATTTTACAAGAACATGGTGTTGATTTGCTGTTCCAACCTGCTTACTCGCCCCACTTAAATACTTGTGAACTTTGTTTTCACCAAATAAAGTGCTATCTCAGACAGAATTCATCCTTGACCGCCAATGAAACTGAGATAGCAATCGGTGAAGGTGTATCAAAAATAACTGCAACAAATTCAATTGCATACTTTAGAAAATGCGGCTATATCTGATAAGCTCGCTAAGAATTTGTTTGCACGGACAGATTGTAAACCAGCTTTTAATTCAGTCAAACTCATAAAGTCTGACAAATATAAGCTTAATTTCAATGTGTTACATTACAACAGAAAATGTATTCTTGCAAAATATGTAATCTTATATATGCTCACACATGTAATATAAAAGTTTTGAACGCGAGGCAAATCGGATCGATAGGGAATACATTTCATCCGTACTTAACTACTTGGTGGGTTTTTATAGAAGACAAGAAATAGAAACGCAACGGAAAAATATCATGAAAACTGTATCTAATATGAAACTGTTTGTAGTTTACATGTAAATTTCTTGCCACGGTGAATTTATAACTACAGCTGATTTGTTCACTGTACTCACAGGGGATCAAGAGTTCGATGATTGTAATCTTCAATGACATAAATCTCCAGTCAATGCAAATTTTACGACAGAAACACAACAAAAGATATCTGATCATATCTAGATGAGTACTTGAACATTGTTACGGTAAAGCACCTAATTATCTTCTATTTCACACGGCGTAATGTGTTGCTCACTGCACTCGCAGAGGATCAACAATTCCATGTTTATATTCTTCAGTGACATTTGGCAATCTCCAGTCATTACTTTCATCTAATGGAACTTTATTTTTCAGCGCTCGTTGTAAAATCATTAAGTCTCTATCCAAGGAACTACGTTCCAAGTATTTAGCCGGATTTTGCTTCCGCAGCCTTGGACGCATGATTGCGAAGAAGCTAGACTTCGCTCGTTGGCGGGAAGCGTTGAAAACCTCCGTCTCATTTTTAGCTTTCGCATACTTTTGTTCAAGTTCCTTTAGCTCACGCTGTAAGGTGCGAATATCATTCAGCAATTCAGGGTGCTTATCCTTCAGCTTACAAAAGTTCACATCATGGCAAGGAACTTCGTTGCACTTTGCTCTGTTGTGCTCAGATGTATGACATATTGCACATACCTTACCGCGCCGCTCGTGAGCCTTTGGTAAATCATCAAGCACTTTCTGTTTCCCTTGCAAATGACTTTTAGCACTTTGTACAACAAGACAACAAGGCCCATGGTCTTTACTCATCTCCAGTTAGGCTGCTGAAATTGGCAACAAGGGTCATATCCGTACCTCTAGCCACGATTTTTAATCAGTCTATTTGCTCAGGGATTTTTCCATCTAAACTAAAGTACGCTAAGATTATCCCGATATTTAAGGACGAAGATGACACGCTGCCCGAAAACTACCGACCTATTTCTCTGCTCTCGATTTATAACAGGATTTTTGAAAAACTTATGTACTCCAGAGTTACCAAGTTTGTCAAAGATTGCAACATTCTCTATGATCAGCAATACGGTTTTCGCAGTAAGCACAGTACTCAGCATGCTGTACTTGATATTGTTAACACAATTCTCCAAAACATGGACAACGGTAAATTTTCGTGCGGTGTTTTCATCGATCTCAAAAAGGCTTTTGATACTGTTAACCATGAAATTTTGTTAGCTAAACTTGAAAATTATGGTATTAGAGGTGTAATCAACTCCTGGTTCAGATCATACCTGACTGATCGGAAGCAAACTACGGAAGTTAATAATGTTGTGTCTGAGGCTGAAACGACCTTGTGCGGCGTGCCACAAGGCTCAGTCCTCGGACCACTCTTATTCCTACTGTACATCAATGATATTTACAAGTCCTCTTCGTTATTTGCCTTTTATCTATTTGCTGACGATACTAGTATAATACTTGCAAATAA